CCCATACCTTTATGTTTCTAAAATATTTGTAATTACTATTTTTAGTCCAAAGGCCCATTACAACTTTAAAATAAACATTTATTTACCAAAAATATATAATTGTAAATATAATCTGAAGCCCCTGAAAAGCTTAGTTACGGCCTGCATCAAACACCGCATGCTGTAAGGGTTCTCCAACACGTTATTTTGGTATTGTACTGACATTTTTCATACTGTCATTCTCTTTTTAGCCCCAATCTCTCAATCTTTCTGTCAGCCATACCTATTTGAGATTTGGACCAATTAGAGTGGACTTTTGCAATTTGAGGGTAGGAAATTGAGATAAAGACAGAAAAGAAAAGCGAAGGCATACTGCATAAAAGATTGACATGTTTGTGGATACTGAGGACGGTGAACAATGGATAAGAATAGGTTTTGCATTGTTGTGTGCTTACTATAACAATTGGTGATGAGAAAAAGAGGCAGAATCTCTGAGGAAATAAGATCAAAGGACCATCTGCCAACATGCAGGAGGGAAAAAGCTCAGATATTGATGAGCTATATTTTGGTTTGAACAGTATTCATGAATGCCTGAATCGGAGTGATGTTTCTGGCCTTTGGCAACAGACACAATCCTTATGGAAGAGTACTATCCATCTGCAGCTTTCTGATTTCTCCAGGCTTAACATTTCTAAAACAAATTGCATGTAGAGCCATTTTCATGAGTCTGTAGTTTGCAATGCAAAATCAGCTACCATGGTTACATTTGCTCTGCTGGCTTCTGGATATTTTAGGATTAACTGATAAGGTGAGAAGTGGAAATGCTTGACTCTTAAGTGTGTTGTTTGAATGACTTTACACAGACAGCCTCAAAAAATTTTAATCAAATAAAATCACCAATTTCATTTTAAAAACAGTTGTTTTTATTTTATTTATTAAAACAACTGTAAAATCAACTTGGGCAAAAATGTAATGGAGGGTAAGTATATATATATATATATATATATATATTTCTAAATCAGTAAACCAAAACAGTTTTCATTACAAGGTATTGCTATCCTATTGTAAATCAACAAGACAACAGGAAGAAGACTATTTTATTAAACTGGAGGGACATAATCTTAATGAGGGAAATGTTTTCAATCATTAAAATGACAACAGCCTGAAATATAGAAATAAATGAACAGATAAGATTTTCTGTGCCTCAGGAAAATACAGCAGCAGCACGTATGAGTTTGTGATTTGGGTAAAAACGAGACAAAGGCTAAGAAATGTGTTGACCTACTCAACTGAGCATCCAGGATTTGAAAAAAAAAAAGGGCACTACAAAATGATCAAGCTTTACTTTGCATTGACCAACCCTAAATGAAAATATAAGCACTGTTTCACTTTCTTACTTTTCCTCTTGAAATATTACATCATCCATTTTGTATGTGTGAACAATGACAAAAAATAAGTGCACTGGTGTCACTAGACCATGCAAGCAGAGGCTACGTTCACACTRCGGGTCTTAATGCTCAGTTCTGATATTTTTCAAACCCCTTTTTATTAGTTTTTTTTTTTGTTTATTTTTTTGCATGAACATTCACATTCTAAACGGTGACACATCATGCAAAATCCACTTTTTTAGCCATTAAATAGATTTTTGTTGTATACTTGGAGACTCTAGAAGTGCAAAAAAGTTTAATTTAGTCTCTCCTGGTGCTGCAATGATATCTTTATATCCTGTTTGGATCGTTTCAACCCTTTTTTCTCTATTTTGGCTTGTGTTTTCTGAAATATTACGTGAAATTATTTGCAACAGAGCTGCCAAATATGATCTGGACTTACCAACTACAATTTGTTTGTCTTCATTCTCCACTCTCTCTGTGTCAGACTCTGGCTCCAACATGTAAGGCTGGATAGACAAGTCTTCTGTTGTTGACATCTTTTAATTTGAACAATCTGATTTGTCATGTTAAGACTATCATGTATAAATTTGATATGGGTCACATAGCGGCAAAAAATAAAAATACGAAAAATCGGATTTGGGTCGCGTTTGCCTGAAGTGTGAACTTAGCTTATGTTAATTTCAGAGCATTAAAAGACATAACTTATCCAGCCAACAAATTGACATCTGCAACTGTGTTGTCATAATGATGATAAATTTGTTTGTTCAATTAAACTGTGTGAAAGTATGCGAGAAGTTGCTCTCTCAGTATTCAAACACGCTGCACGGTGCCTAAATTACACCATGACTTCCTACTGATGTGAGAACAGATTATACGGGTCAGTTATGAACAACGGAGCTCATTTAAAAACAGGAAGGGATAAATTGCATGGTTTGGAGAGCACTAGTCAGTCATTCATCAACCAGCTGTCAGAAAGAAATGATCATCACGCTGTAGTGTCTGCTTCACTCTGCGAGTACGTGATGACTGAGCAAAAGAGCTTGATGAGACAATAAAATTATGCAAAGGATATTCGGAAACTCAAGTCCCAAATGTACAGTAAAATTTGAGAAATGGTCTGAAGTTTTTAAATAACAGGTCAAGCCCCGGAAAAAGGACAGTGCTGACAGTGCTTGCTTTTTTTTTTTTTTTTTTTTACAAAGCTTCCAGTAAACTGACAGTAAACTGGTCTGGGCTCTTGTTGTTTTCTCATGTGGCTCATTTAAGTTTTATTTTGGACCTTACAGAATGTGACACTAATGCCTGAAAGTCCTTTTCATATCAGCTATTTCTTATCTAGTGTATAATAAGCTGAAATTTCAATTTAAACATCATTACAAGAAGTTGCCTAATCTTCCATTCCTACACAGAGCTGCAAAAACTTTGCAGATGTACCATTCCTGCTTACAGTAGTAACATATTCAAGCTAGATGCTCCCCAGAGATAAATATTTAATTAACCTTTGGAGCCATGGAAACTCTAATCATCCTCTTTAACATGATTAGGATCATTCCATCCCATCAGATTGCAAATATGTTTATTGCTCTAATGAAGGGTTGTGTCACAGTTTGGCACTTGAAGTGCGGAGACGTTCGCCTAGTCCACAGCCATCAATCTGTCAATCATTAAAAAGCAATTAACATTTAGCAATTAATAAGAAGAGGTCAGAATCAACACATCACCCCCTTGACTTTAAAACTCTTAAGGGAACATAAAGTACTCTCATCGATATCTCGAATTAAAGTTGTCTCAAGACAAACAATCACATGCAAATGTATTTCTTTTGTTATTTATAATTATTTATTTATTTTTGTCCTTACCTCTGCAGATTGGCACCGGAAAATCCCACACTGACACACCAGCGGCACTGGTCACACAGGTGAGGAGTGAATGTCCATCGAGGACATAGCCGGTGACGCACCGGTAGCGGATCTTGTCCCCTATGTTGAACTGAGTCCCATTCAGTATGCCTTTGGGTGGAACTCCTGGGTTTCCACATGAGCTGCTTCTCAGCTCTGCAAGAAAAAAAAAACAGACCATAGTGAGTGATGTTACTTTTTTTTTGGCTCCTTGTGTTGTCTCCAACATTATAAGACATTTTGATTTAAAAGAAAATGAAAAGCAAAGGTCTGGCAAAGCAAAGAGGGTGGTCTGGGCCTCCCTTCTGAAGCTGCTGCCCCCGCGACCCGACCCCGGATAGGCGGAAGAAAATGGATGGATGGATGGATGGATGGATGGATGGATGGATGGATGAAAAGCAAAGGTGTGTAAAATTAAATGCTTATTTGTGACTAAAAAAGCTAATATTCTTAACAGAAGATGAATAAAAGAACTGTCAACAGAGGCTGTACCACCTTATATTTACATAAAAAAAACCTCTCTACAACATACAGTTTCTTTGAGTAAAATAACAATAAGCTGCAGGGAAAATAAGTGCATTATTAAAACACAAAAAGAGATCCAAAGCAAGCGTGAAGGAAATGAAAGAAGTTAGATTTTGGACTTTGCAAAGGCTGCAGTTTGTCACCAATCCTGGTTCTTTCCTTAGTGGACAAAATTTCTGGGCACACCTGAATACAAACAGCTTGCAGTTCATTTGGCTTAGGATTGAAGTTTGAACTTTTGCTGGCATAAGTTAGTGTTTTGTTGGTTTTTATTCCACAATGTTGATCTGGGACTGATTTCTAAGTCAACTGTCATTCAAAAGATGTGACCGTGGAGTTCTGCGACCATATGTTAAGGGGGATGTTCTGGTCGTACATTGATGTTCTATCATTTCAACTTGGAAAGACTCACACACAGAAATACAGCAGTTAAACAGTTTTATTGATATGAGAAAGTTCTTTGGCGCTCGAGCCCCGGCTGAAGACGTAGGTGCAGCTAATTGCTGTGAGCTAGAAATCAGCTTAGGTTTTAGGTATAACGTCTTCCCCCCCTGGGGCTCAGACACTGGTGGTGGTGTGGAGGCCAGAGGGAAGGGATAGCCAGGAAGAGCTTAAGACGAAGGTTGTGAAGGGGTTGAACACATCTGGAGAGCAGACCGATCCTTGGAAGCTGGGCCTTTAGACCTGGATCTCTATGAGCAGATCGGTACGGTGAGGTGAGGATCTGACGCTGATTGACTGCAGCTGGCAGCATGTCGCAGTGATTGGATGGAGCTGGTGAGATGGGGGGAGAGCCATCCAGTCTGAATTTGCACATAAGCTTCATTAGTACCTTATGAGTGGTGGCAACAGTTAAAGTATCAAGTTACATACAGTCATGTATGAGAAAAAAGAAAGATATCTTTGTCTATGCTAATAGCTAGCCAAATAAGGGCCATTTTTAATTGTTTTTCACATCTAAAAACAAATTCTACTCAAAAACCCAATACAAAAAACTGCTATCAATTTAATTTTAATCAAAGCAGTGTTCTTTCACACAAGTATTGCATTTTTGAGAAAGAGTTTCCAGTTTGTTTTATATGCCTGATAAAAGGACCATTGTTTGTCTGATGGACTAAGACTTCTGATCTTTTCTTTAAACTTTGAGTTGATGCCATGACTGATAAGACACTAACTAGCAGGGGTACCCTATACCCATTTTTCCAAACCGAGTACGAGTACTTCAGTTTGGGTACTTACTGTTACCATATTCCCATACTAAGTACTGATTTTAAACTTAAACATTACACAATGACTTTAAAAACACTTTTTTATTAAAAGAAGGCGGCTCTCCTTCATTATAGGTCTAAAGCCTCTCTCTGAATGGATCAAATTGAATATACAACATGATGTATGTGGCAAAGTTTAAAATAAATAAAAACAACAAGATTTCCTTTCAACTTGTATAAATTTCTGAAACATGACCATTCTTTCCCTTGAAATGTAAATTGTAACATATTCAATAGATTACTGATGTCGGTATTGCTATCAGTTCAGAGTTTTACGCCATTTTGCACAAAAATGAGTACTTGTAAAAATGCTGGTATCGGGCTAATATCGGTATGGAAACACCACTAACAACTTGTACATGTTTGGACAAACATCACTTCAATAATGACCAGGCTAATCCTTTAAGACTGCCAGAACTGAAAAAAAAAAAAAAAAAAAAAAAAAAAAANCAACAAACCTATCAAGCATTATAATGATTATTAAAACATTTTCTTCAGAAAGAAAATGAATCCAAGTTAGCACAACAGCTCAGAACACACAAACAAGCTAGTTTAGTCCCACTTAATTAAAATGTACCTTACTGCAAATTGTTACAGCTATGAATAAAAGACTAATCCACTTCTAACAGGCATTCTTAGAAAGTTTTTGTGATTTTTTATTTTTTATTTTTATTTTTTTTTGCTGTTTCTAAATAACAGAAAAGTGGGGAACAAAAGCCTGAAAAACATTTGGAAACACAACATGTTACATAAAGAGTAACATCATAATTTACTTCCATTTCGTAGCACTTTTGAAGTTTTGGCATTGTTGTTCAGGAGGATTAAAACTTGATCCTTGTCTGAAAGGATTTTTGTGTTTTAGACTTTTGTATACACTGGTCTAATGGGATCAAAGACAACAGCAAAACCATCACCTTGTACTTACTGAGCTTGTCCTTTTGTCGATTATATATTGATGATCTGAACTGTGTTTAGGATCTTCCTCCTGTTTTAAAATGCATTCTTATCTGATATTTTTTTCTGTGATGCTCTGATGTTTGCCTCTTGAATTTGCTGACTGAAATATCTTCATGCTCTCAGTGGAATGTTCCCGGTGCCACTCGCTGCAACGCAAGCCAAAAAACATAATTGATCCACAGCACACGCTTTGAAACGCTTATCAGCCATCACAAATGTTGGATGTGCCTCTCAAACCAAGCAGTGAAGGCAGGGAATACACTCAACTTGACCATATGGCTGGTTAAAAAAAAGCTGTTTGAGAGAGCTTTGAGCTTAGCAACAATGCAATGTACAGTAATGAATAAAAATCAGTGGGGGTGCCTAATGTGTTTCATGCCAGGCTGTATATTATCCTCCAGGTGATGGTGAGATCATTTTCTCTGTGTAGAACTGCCATATTTTCAATGATTAAAAGCACCATGAGCCTTGATCACCCTAAGAGGCCATTACTTTGGTTCAGATGAAACTTTCTTCCTTATAGTAAAGATTTTTTTCCCTTCATTCAGAGATATGCTTCTCCCCTGCTGCTAGTGATCACTTCTACCTTCTTTTGAGCCAACGGCAAGAAAAGAGGCGCACACTGATTCTGCCATGTTCATGCCAACCCAATTAGCGTAGGTAAAAATATGAGCTTGATACTGTAAATGGCATTCAACAAGAGGAGATGTAAAAATTAAAGTCAGAAAATCTCCTGATTAAAACCCAACTGTGCTTCCTTTTTAACTGCCGTTGGCCGGGCTCAGAACTGGACAGCAAGGAAGACATGGGTGCAGTGAAGCTGTAAGAAAATATTGAATGTATCAAAAGTAAAACATTTGCTTTTGTCTCTGGGTTGACATCTTTGGGAAACTATTCTGTGATAGTTCTGGTTGAGTCCCTTTGTTTGGCACAGGTTGTTAAAAGCAGTTTTCCGTAAAGGTTTTTTTTTTCTAGAAAACAATAAATTAAACCTTAAATGTTCATGTTTTTAATACTATATATATATATATATATATATTTCTAAATCAGT